AAACCCTAATATAAGATTCATTAATCATTTCTTAAACACATTAATGATGGTGTTTCGTTTGTTTGGCCGTCCCGTATGTGTGGATTTGGCCTTTTTATGTTTGCTTTGGAGATTGATATGTTTGGCATTTTATTAGAGAAATGCCAAACGAAGCTATTAAAAAAATATACTGCTAAATGTATAGCATAGTAGGAAAGAAGTTGAAACTTTATGGCAACTTTGTTCACATGAAATTGTTTTTAGATATTTTTATATAAAAAAATTCTCTCACGTGATTAAGTATGCATCTTGCAAGCAAAACCCACTGTGGTTATATGATATATCAAGCTATTATTACCATTATAATAACAAGATGCTGTTCAGCATAACCACCGTAACAGCAGATCATTGGACCATGAATTTAACCCTAAGAAATACAAAGGTCCATTTTGTGAACCATTAAAAGATAACAACAGCCATTCCCAAAAGAAAATGAGAGATGTCTTATCAAAAAAAAGTTTACATAGAGTTGAGACTCTAAACTATCAAATTAGAGCCCACCTCAAAAATTTCATTAGTGGAGGTTATTTTAATGCCCAAATATCCTCAAATTAGTCATCTCGACATCAAGATACATAGACATGAGAAAAAAAAAGATTTCAAGTTTTGGAAATAATGCAATCTTGTAACACATTTTTGGACCGTCAATTTTAAATATTGTCAAATTTTTATAGATCAGCTCAATCTACACTATTTTTGAAGCTTTAAATTTTATATTTAAAGATGAAAATATATTTTAAATCTATCACAAAGAATTTTAGTATTGAAACCAAATTTCGCAACACTATTTGAAGGTGGACTTTACTTTGATTGTTTAGAGACTCAGCTCTATACAAACCGCACCCACAGCTCATATTTAACATAGCAATTGTAAAAGGAGCCCCTTAGTTCAAATCAGACTTTAAACTCTTGGCTGAGCCCTAGTCCAATCCGTGTCACTTGGTGAGCCCGAATGGACTTGCCAGGGCTTTACCCAAGCTAGAAAAATCCTTGGGGGAACAAAAAATTTGGAAAGAGATTTTTTTTCATTTTTTCTTATCTTTTGTTTTTTAGAGGGGTTGTTCGTGGAAAAAAAAGGAAGAGCTTGGGTCACGTGCCTAGGGCAAGGAAAGAGAAAGACAGCACATGGCAAATAGAAAGATTGCATGGGGCCAGGAGAAAGGGAGGGAGTGAAGGTAGGTGTTCAAGACTCGGCGAATTCGAGTTGGACTCGATTGAGTTACTCGGCTTGGACAAGATAAACTAAAAAGAATATCTTGATACAAAATTGTCCTTGAATTACCTATGCGGTGTTCGCCTGATTACAGTAGCAACTCACATGAGTACCATAAACTCGGCATGATCTTTACAACACTCAGGCAAGTTGCTATAGTATTCCCAAAGTACCATTGCTGAGAAAAAAGAAATTAGACTATTTACCTTTGATACAAGGAAGTCACAGTTACTTACAACTATCCAATGTAAAATCTGATAGCTTGGGTGTGTCACAATATCTCATTTGAGCTTGGTCAATAAAATAAATACAACTACCGAATTTCACTTCCAATGGTCAAAGATTAAACGTGACCACCTTACACTAAAGATAAATGATGTCATTGTATACTTTTCCATTTATCTATTATGTAGCTATCTTTCAACCGAAGACCCTTTCTCTCAAATATTTCTTCCTAAAAACCATCTTCGTATATCTGGCTTTGCAACATTAAAAAGCCGAACATTTGCTCTCTACTTGCCATGAAAAACCCTTTGCTGTAATTTCTCATCGCCACATATTTTGATTTTTCTTGAATAGCCTTCCGTCAATTCCATTTCCCACTGTCAATTGTCAGCTAGAGATAACAGAACAAGGCTTGCTTGTACCGGGAGATTATTGGAATCTGATGGACGTAGAGTCTTGGTTTTCTCTGCATATTCTTCAAGCCCTTCTTTGAATCCCAGTTTTACTTTCCTCATCTCCTCTCTCTCCCTTAAATCCCATTTTCCATTTTGGAGTGAGACCAAGCAACGTACTCGCCTGGGTCAGAGGTAGAGGCTGAGTAACTCACCTGATTTTGAAATTACTGAAAGAGAAAATTAGTTCTCAAAATTGAAATCCTATAGTTTCATTTTTATTACAGCATCCATTGCAATTACATCATCATGAAAGCCAATGAGCCATTACCTTTTCCATGAGGTCACCCAAGCAACAATCCACCTGAACTCATATGACCAATGCCACATCATATGCTTGTAGGGATCAAGCAAAGAGATTGAAGGTGGAAAGAAGTATAAAAACAGAAGAGATTGCGTCCATCATTCTCAAAATGAAGTTAAGGGAGATGGTGGTATTGGATTATACCTAGGTTCACGAGTTGTCTTTTTAATGTGGTTTTGACAGAGGGCTTGATTAGATTAAGGTATGACCAAATGTGATTAATTGGTAGAGATGATTGGCTGAGTTTTTTTTATTACCCTATGAGAAAACCAAAGGAAATTTTGGGCATATGTTTCGGCTACAGCATTTGGTGGCTCGCTAAACTTAACGAACATCATGAAACCAATTAGAAATAAAGGGATTATACACAATGAGACTATTTATCATTGTTACAAGGAGGTCATAATTCCTACCAACAATTAGATGTTAAATTTGATGAATTGGGATATTCCACAAAGTTCGAAAAATTTTTATTTTTTTGAACTATGAGTTTAGTCAATGATACACTCACAATCATCGGATTTGAAATCTGACGGACAAGAATGATTATGATCTCCTTGTATTAAAAGTAAATGGTCTCTTTTTATACTTTTCCTTAAAATAAATATTGCTAATAAAAGGGCAATGATGCATTGATCATTTCCTAATAAAAGGATAATAGTATTAGTTGCTTTGAAATCCAAGGAGGCTCACCACCATGCTCCATAATGAACAAAAAAATAAGCTATAAAAGAAAACAAAAATAGAGAGCTTTATTTAAACTAAAAGATTAGGAAAACTCTACAAACTAATATTTAACAACGGGTCACCTTATTCAGTGAAAGCATTAGTGAAAGTTAGGGTAGAAGAGGAGGGAGAGTGGTTGTTGGGCCATAACATTATTGTTCACCTGTGAAAACCGTGGTCAATTACAAGTTGGATTTGAAATCATGACAAGATTTTATGTAATTCAAATTTTCAAATCTCTCTCTCCTAGAAAAAAGGTTTATACCTCCAAGGATTATTACGCCTTTATCACAATATGGACATTTCTGTATGGCCAGAATCTGACTCGAGGGAAGATCTCTTCTTTGGAGAAGAGAATGAAGGCTTAGGAGGCAAAACTAAAGTTTGCGAGTTACCATCAAGCATTTCAACCACCTTGGTTATACATGGACGGTCCGTTGGGTTGATTTGTATGCACCAAAGACCAACTACCATCATCCTTTTTGCCATTTCTTTTTCCTCTCCTTTGATATGTCCCACTTCAAGATCTCCTCCACATTCAAGGCGAGAATACACCCAATCTGGAAAGTATACTTCACTAGAATTAGCTCGTTGATCAAAATTTTTTCTCCCACCAACCATTTCCAAGAGCAACATTCCAAAGCTATACACATCGGATTTATGTGAAACAACTCCAAATGATCTTGAATACACTTCAGGAGCCATGTAACCAATCGTTCCTCGAGCACCAGTGAGTGATATTACACTTTGTTTATTGGAGTATAGCTTTGCGAGACCAAAATCAGAAATCTTGGGGCAAAAGTCTTCATCCAACAAAATGTTATGAGGCTTGATATCGAGATGGAGTATGCGAGTTTCACAACCACGGTGCAAATATTCGAGCCCACGACTCGTACCAAGTGCTACTTTATACAGTGTTTCCCAATGGAGGCAATGGCTTCGCGGTTTGTCAAAGAAAATGAATCTTTCGAGAGAGCCATTGGGCATGAAGTCATATATAAGAGCTTTTCGCCAACCATCAGCACAGAAACCAAGAAGGCGAACCACATTTATGTGGTGTATACGGCCAATGGTTGCAACTTCATTAATAAATTCTTCACCACTACCCTTTGGCTCTGCTAGCACCTTTACAGCAATGAGGCGCCCGTCAATGAGCTTACCTTTGTATACACTTCCAAACCCTCCCTGACCTAACTTTTCCCTGAAGTTGTTGGTCATTTTTTTGATGTCTTTGTATGAGTATCTTGTGGGCATTTCATTTCCATAATTCCTAAGGAACTCCTCAACATCCTGGCCCTCTACTCCTTTGGACATTTTAATTTTTCCTTTGGACATCATAATAATTGCTATTGTTATAAGTATTGCTCCCATTGTAATTGTAATTAAAATACCTGTAAGAAGAGAAAACAAGTTATGAGCAGCAATGGCATGGTGGCAAGATGTATAGCAAGAGTAAGATCTATGTGATATGGGTAGGAATAAAAAGTTTGTGAGGATAATGTTGGAGGATGATAAATGAATTTTTCAAACTCCACCATGGCAGGTCATGCCAATCTCAAGCCTAGATAAAGGAGGAGGGTTCTGTTTGTAGGCAGCCACATTGTAAAACTTTTCCACATATTTTCATGAATCTTGAACTTATTAATGGAACAGGATTAGTGTTTCTAACCCCAAACAATTGAGATAAGGATAAGACGATGATGATGTTGAATATAATCATAAGTGAGTCAGTTATTTGGATTATTCATTCTAAAGAATTACAATTT